TCTGTAGCGACAATTTATTCTGAAGAAAATCAAATGACAATTTATTGAAACGAAAAAATACAACTCTAAGGCGCTTCTTTGAAATGTTTAACAAATTTTTACATTACAACTTATATACAGAAAAATGCTTAATTATTAAAATGAACTTTAAAAATATTAAGCACATAATATTATATATTTATCCAATTGTACAATACAATACGATCACATAATATGAAAAAAATGTTAAAAAGAAGTCTTTTATGGATAAAATAATTTTTAAGTCATTGTAGTGAAAGTACTTTGATTTTTTCAGACAACCATTCCCCGACATACAGGTTGTCATGCTCGTCTATACAGAGAGCTCGTGGCATGTTCATGTCTTTATACTGAATGTAGTGAAGCAGTTCACCATTTTCATCAATCGAGTGAATTCTGTTTCTCACCATGTCCGCTACAATGATGTTATTCTTGGAATCACAACAGATGCCGTATGGATCAAACTGAGGGTCACTTTGTGCTCCTGTGTAACGGAATCTGAGAAAGCCCCCGGCGTCCGTGACGACCACGGCATTCACATCAGAAACGCAGATGTCTCCATTGCCGTTTTCTGTTATGTAGGACGGGCAGATAAAAAGGGGACGATTTTTGTCTGTGCCTATTTCGAATTGCTTACGACCTTTCTTTGATAACTTGAGAACTTTACCTAGTGAGCGGTCATGTACCTGCTGGTTCCAGAAACTAACTAAAAAGGCACCTGATTTACACGCTGTAATCCCATTTGGTGTGTATCCACTGGATAGTTCATCTACATGTAGCGTAGGCCATGAAGAATAAGAACCCGCCCATGATCTGTTAGATGCATCCCAAAGAACGAAATTGGTTAAACTGATAAAACAGAAACAGGACCCAAAAGTAGAGTAGATATGTATTGGGCCATTTCTTAGCTCATAAGAGGAATCATCGCTTTTTGTGTTTAAAACAGAAACGCACACCCTTCCTGCGCCTGCATGTTTCAGATCGATTATATACTTCTGTCGGTATTTTATTGTCCTCACTATTTTTACTCGATTCACAATGGCAGACAAAACCTGAGCTTGCATCACTGGCTTTTTTTTTGTATTATTGCAACAACCTTCAAATAAAAAAAAATGCATCAACATTAATGAATTTCGATTTTTGTTCTAAATATATTTAGTATAAGGATATGAAGATAACGAACAGAATTCAATAATAAAGTCCATATATAAGGCCAATTTTCCTAATGCAAGTCAAAATATACATAGCACGTGGCACAGGTATAGATTAAAAAATAACTAATACATATACTTTTATTAGGGAAAGATACCAGGTATATACACACAAAATAAAAGTTTAAATAAAAAGTAAACGGGGGCGTGGTGTTGGGAGGGGGCTAATTTTGATTACCTTTATATTCTGATAGCTTTAACAATGTGATTTTTGTGGGACGCAAATTTAGCGATTTTTATTTAAAAACTAGATTTTATTTTCAGCGAGTAGTAATTTTTAGCGATTTTAAAATGCCCATTAAAGAAGCTTGTACAAATAACACGCAATTTATTTTTAGAGATATTTAATTTAAGCGTTCTAAACAGCCTCGCTAATAATGCCAAAATTAAATCCTCAATAAAATTTCTACTCATACGGAAATTCTATAAATTGGTTCCATCAGTAAAAGAATATATTCATACATGATCTATTTTATTATTTATTTCAGCGTAATTCAAAGTTTACCATTTTTTGTTGAACGACATTTATTTATTATACCTCATCGGATCCTAAATTGAAAATCTTGTATAGTCGTCCAAGTTTCTTGTAAATTTTTCTTTAGATCAAAGTCCCTTAAATCGCTTTCCTTTTGTTCAATAATCAGGATTACACGGATCTACAGTTGAACTTTTTGGTTCAACAATATTTTCTCCCTCAATAATTTTGAAGATGTTTCTGATAATGATTATATAAAAGACTTAATTTGACTGTACAGGCAGACTGAACAAAGGAGTTTTCCACTTAAGTATAGTAGCTTGGTCCCTTTTTTCGCCCTTATTTTACAGAATATACTTGAGGATATGGTATTATTTTTATTTGCATGGTGTATAACATAGTATTTCTGATTGAAATATTGTAGAATCATCATTAATCACTTTAAGCATTAAGAAATATAGGCCAATATTCGACACCTACCGCACGTAGAAATTCCGGAACATTTTCTTTCGAACAGAGTGCGGTTTCTCTATTACATACAAATGGGCGGAGACATTTAAATTAGGTACTATATAAAGGATGACATGGTGAGCTGTAGCGTGAAATAAGAAATGATAAACAATACTACATGTAGTAAACGATGGGTCAAAATAATCTTCAATAAGCTTGAATTTTATTTTGCATTATTCGTATTCTTCTTAACTTGGTGTGAGTGAGGGGTCTTCTTTTTGTTTTTGATGTATAGTTGGTCAGAGTTTTGAATATCCCAAAATCACGTTAATTTTGTTTTATCTATCATTGTTGAATAAAATGTCAAAATATTTTAACCACTTTATTTATTTTCTTTAATATGATGAAAAAGTACGAGCGATCAAATAATAATTTACCTCCTTTCCTTTGCAAAGGGGCAGCTAAGAAAAAATATAAACAACTTTTTAACAAGAATATAGATACCCAAATAAAAGTTTGATAAAGCAAAAGTAAAAGAGGAAACCCTCCCAAACTTGAAAAAGTGATTATTTGGGAGTGGGAGTCTAACTATTACTCATTTTGATTTGAAAAATTAAACATTAAGATTAATGTGTGTTCATTCGTATCGCAACAGCGTAAAAAAAGTTTTTTTGTGGGGGGGGGGGGGGATGAAAACCTCAAGATTTTTCTCACCCATCCAACCCCTGATACTACCTGCCTGACATGTATATCTATTTCTTAATTTCATTCTAAATTCTGCATTGAATATTCTGATTTACTTATCGATTATTGATTAATACATGACTTGTACAAATACTTGTAATATAAACATGTATATAAACACTTCAAAAACAGTTGCTGGAATAATAGAAACATAATTATTATTTATGCCTGCTATGAGAAATATCAGCCTGATTGTGCAGTAGAAAAAAATACAGGTATGCAGTATTGTCGATTTTGTCATTAAATTGAATGTCATAAAGTCAAATGTATAGCAAATCATTACGGGGAATTTATTATACTTCACAAGGATTTTCTCTTATTATAATAAATATCACAAGATTGGTAAATGAAATTCAAACTCAATAGTAATGTTTTTCGTTGCATTAATACATTTGAAGTTTTTCCGAGTTTGTATGCTTCCAAAAACGTGGCAAGAGTGTAAGATTGCTATGAATATTGAAGTTGTCAGTATAGTGCATTTGTTTAGACTGGATAAATGAGAAGAAATTGTTACGTCTTTGGCATTTTGTGCATGTTTGTTTCTATTGATTAAATGTGTAATTATGTTTACATCTATCTACTCGTATTTTGATGTGTGTTGAATGCAATCCCAGGAAAATTGCGATTACATTCATGAGAATTAAAAATATGTCCCGGAAAATCATCAAAGTTTAACATAAGAGGTAGTCTATAAAGAACTTTGTTTTGATTTTTTAAAAAAAAAAGATTAAAGCTGGTGACTGCACTTTTCCAATACGAGCTACATGTGTCGCTTCTTACAGAAAAAAAAAAAAACACGCTTTCCAGAGGTATTTACCTGTGTCGGTATGGAATCACGTGACATATTATCTATTCTTAGCAGGTCAACAAGAGGTTAATCCTATGTAAATGTACTCACCGAACAGATTCAAAATCATGATACTTTTTCCTAGAAAACATACAGCGCAAGGTTGTTCAACAAAAATATTTTCACATCACTTTTTATACACTGAATTGACCACGGATTTTTTTCCGTTATTTCCTGATTATGACAACGAGCACACGGCGGGTGTGACCGGTCGGCAGGGGATGCTCACTCCTCCATGGCACCTGATCCCACCTCTGATGTTTCGGAGGTCCGTGTTTGCTCTGCTCTTATTTTGTATATTTGTTTAAACCGGTCACGGTAGCCTAGTGGTAGAGCGTTCGCTTCGTGATCGGGAGGCCCGGGTTCGATTCTCGATCGCGGCGCCGCGTCATACCTAAGACGTAAACAAAGGTAGTGACTGTTCCTTCGCCAAGCGCTCGGCACTAGAAGTGAAAGTCACGGGTCTTTCGGATATGACCTTAAAAACGTAGGTCCCGTGTCACGGTAGGCGTTGGCACGATAAAGAACCCTCACTGCTCAATGGCCCTGAGTGCCGAGTATAGGTCTAAATTTGAAGCCCTTCACCGGCATCGGTGACGTCTCCATATGAGTGAAAAATTCTTAAGAGGGACGTTAAACAATATACAATCAATCAATCAATATATTTGTTTAATGGACGTTGAGATTGAATACTGTTCGTTATTTCCATATCCTTATTGTATAAATATAATATACACATTATATTTTGATCTCGACTTTGAACAAATCTGCGCTCGATGTTTACGAAAGCTGTGAAGTGGGTACCTGTCACAAATTTCTTTTCATATTTATGAAAATCAAAGGACCCCACCTTCAAAACATGGCTTGGCGTGTTGTCTATTGCAATTATTTTATATTTTTAAACGTTGGCACAAATAGTACAGACAAAATAAATTTTACTTTTTAAGTGTCTTAATGAAAGTTTAAAATTTGACAAGTAACCGGTGATCACAGATAATGCCTTATTGAGACTTCTTCTTTGAATCGAAACAATAAGACGCAAAATAATTTGAAACTCGGATATTCTCTTTTTCTCGAAAAAAATCTCTCTCTCTCTCTCTCTCTCTCTTTATTTTATTTTAATTAAAGTGAAATAAATCTGACAAATTTGGTATTTGTAGGACCCTAATCCGTGCTACTACACCAATTGAACGGTACGGTTCGGTACGCTTTGTGCACGGAACGGTACGTTTTTTTGAACGGAATAGATAGTTTTGTGAACGGTACGGTACGCTTTGAGCACAGAACGGTTCGCTTTGTGAACGGTACGGTACGCTTTGTGCAAGGAACGATTCGCTTTGTGCCCAGAACGGTTCGATTTGTGCACGGAACAGTACGCTTTGTGGACGGTACGTTTCGTTTCTTGCACAGAATGGTTCGTTTTGTGAACGGTACGCTTTGAGAAACGGTATGCAAATGAAGTGGACGGAGCCTGTTAGCTTTAGTTCTTGATTGGCTGCTAAAATTAATTAATTTTGAATGACTTTTGAAGTACTTAACGCACGTATATAATTATATTTTAGCTATCAACATCAGCAATCATTTCTCGGTTTCAATTTAAAGATAAATCTACACTACAGCGGTGATGGGGGAAATGAAAGGAAGAAAAAACATCATCCCACCGATGTCCTTGGCATTATGTATAGATATGTATTAATATGTATAGAACTCGTAAAGAATTCCGTACTTAATTTTCACGTATGCTGAACCTTGAAGTTCATTTTAAGAAGAAAAAAAATTAAATTAAATATTTTTTTTTTCTAAAGTTGTAACATAATTAAAAAGAGTTGATATATACCGGGTATATAATTGTTCTATACATATAACTCTATGCACATCCATATATAAATTATTTTTAATTGATTGATCTATGGAAATAAATATGACATTTGCCATTTTCCATTTATTTTAGATCCTCGAGAATTGTCGTTTGAAAGACCCTAAACAACTATTTCACCAGATTGCCTCACTTTATTTAGAAAATCTTTCTAAGAGTCGCACAGAAATCATGTTAAAGAACTTGTAATCATGACAGAATTATATTTTAATACAGAAATCAACGTGCCTTTGAGAAAACTATATTTATATTTGTATGAAAAGATTCCTTTACAGTAAAATTATACTTTATAAAAGTAAAATGTTCCAAACAAAATATTTTGTCCATTTATATATTAAAAAAAAATAAAGTAAATACTGTTAAACAATTAAGGAATTTTATTGGAAAGGTTATAATAATACAAACAGTGAATATATTTGTGATATTACATATGAAAGGTGCACAAAATCACTCTTCAATCGTCTGAATTAATTCAAAATATTAGATTTATACATTTATTATAGTATCTTACATTAACATTGAAAAAATAAAAAAAAAATCAACCAATCAATAAGTGCCGCGGATGGACTTATTCCAAATCATTGAAGTGAGAGGACTTTAATTTCTTCAGACAACCATTCTCCCACATACAAGATATTATGTTTATTTATACAGAGAGCACGTGGCATGTGCATGCCTTGATACTGAATAAAGTGAAGAAGCTCTCCGTTTTGATCAATCATGTGAATTCTATTCTTCACCATGTCCGCAACAATAATGTTATTCTTGGAATCACAGCAGATGCCGTATGGATCAAATTGTGGATCACTTTGTGTTCCTGTGTAACGAAATCTCAGAAAGCCTCCTGCATCCGTGACGACCACAGCGTTCACATCAGAAACGCAGATGTCTTCATTTCCGTTTTCTGTTATATAGGTGGGGCATATGAAAAGGGGTCGATTTTTGTCCGTTTCCTTGTCAAAGAGCTTAACACCACCAAGAGATAACTTAAGTACATTACCTAGTGAACGCTTATGCACCTGATAGTTCCAGAGACAAACCAAAATGGTCCCCGATTTGCACATCGCTGATCCATTTGGTGTGTATCCACCAGTTAGTTCATCTGGCAAAGGCCAAAATCTGTAGAATGTATTAGGATTATATGTTTCACCTGGCAAAGGATATCTGTCATAGTTATCTTTGTCCATACGACATTCCATCAATGATCTCTCACATGTATTCCAAAAAATGAATACTTCACAAAAGTCGTCATTTGTAAAACACAAACAGGACCCATGAGTAGAGAGAAATGGAATGGAATCATCTCTTAATATGCAAGAAGGATTGTGTTTTCAACAGAAACAATTAGCCTTCCTTTATTTACATATTTGAGATCAGTTATATACTTCTGTCCATAATTAATTGTTTTTGCTATTTTCACTCGATTCACAACAGCAGAAAAAACCTGGGCTTGCATTAATCTTTTTACTTGTCATAAAACCAATTACTGATAAAAATTGCTGATAAAAATAAAGCATTAATTGTAATATTTTTTTCAACAAATAAATAAACAAATCCGTATCGCCGAATATTAATATGCATAAATTTCATGTACTTCTAAATTATTAACTTCATGTTTTTTTTAAAAATTCGTATCGCCGAATATTAATATGCATAAATTACATGTACTTCTAAATTATTAACTTCATGTTTTTTAAACACAAACAGGATCCATGTTAAGCTGTTACGGAGATTGCAAAGTGATTCCAAGAACTCAATGCGAAGTTTGACCTAGATTCCATCAGATGTAAAATTTTACGCTCTATTATTTCCGTGTATTTAACTTTGTTTTGTGACTTTTATAGTATATCTTTCGACTCCTGTTAGACAGTGAATCAGTGCGGAACATTTCCGGTAAATTTGAAATGATATTTTAATTGTACAATTACATAAATTACGGAGTTCAAATTTTTTGTTCTTCTTTACACAAATGAAGTCTACAGAATGGTCAAAAAAGCATCATGATTAAGGTTCACATAAAAGGCAATTAAATCTCGTACGCGAGATGCACTTATCGAAACGGCAGATATAAGGGAAGATGTATCAAAATTATTATTAATAATTAGAAAATCCCAGAATGCTGTAACCAGTCAATCCATAGCTTGATCAAAAAAGTGATGAGAGAAGTTAGCATTGATAAAAAAAAATTAGTGCATAAAGCACACCCTCTACTTCAACTACTGACGCAAAATCTATGGGACCGTCCTCATCATGAATGCTGCAGGATAGTCTAATTTTGGAATATTTTAGAAAATTTTACAACATAACTGTTAATTGCGATAATTTTGGACTGTAAGTTTTATCACAATATTTCACAATCAGGGATAATAGAACTTAACATGTTTCGACAATTGATTGCAGTAATTGGTAATCTTCACAATTTGTCGATAGTTTTTTCAATGTTAAGACATTTTGCTTTATTAATTTATTAATTAGTAAAGTGTTATGGCCACGTTTTAAATCTTCCACGTGATCTCGAAACTGTCTTATGTTGATGGAGAATTTAAGAATTAAACGATACTAACCAAGTAGACGTTTGATTGCAATTATCCGAAATATACGTCAATATAAGAGATAAGGTGCCACTGACCCCCACCCACACATTACAGTATAGAGAGTTTTCTTTTGTGGCTACAACACCCTTAAATGTTGAATTCTGTGAACTTTTCTGCAATCTCACCTCCCCTATCTCATTCGGTGAATCACAATAAAATTTTTCTTGGCAAGTATCGTTTAAATTTTAAAATAAATATTCTGTCACTAATATTATGTCAGGTGTCAGAATTAAAAGACTGTATTTTTAAACCAGATTTGACTAAACAAACGAGATAGATGTATTAAAATGTTAATAAGACAATGTTCAACACAACCTTACCTGCTAGGCTTAACTTTTCTCAGAAAACGACTTCTTTATTGAATCAAAATTCACTTTAGGTTTTAAGGTATAAATATCGTCCATCAATCAAGGCGGTAAAGAAGGGTTATATATTGATCGTTTCTGTATAAAGCCTTATCAGCACTATTTCAGTTTTAAAAGGAAAACATAATCTGTTTTCGTAATTTTTTTTTCTAACTCGTTTTCGTATCACACAGCTGTGTCGTCACACAATGGGTTTTGCGTAAGAGTATTGAGGTAAAATGAATTGGAGTCCTATATAAAAGCAGTGTTAAACATTATTTGTCGTGTAAAAACATGGGATAAAAAGAATCTCACATGATTTGCAGTTTCATGTAAATATGATTTTTATCCAATTCGTTGTGTGTTTTTATCCCTTCCCCAATGCTCGGGGATAAAAACCACACAACTCGTTGGATAAAAATCATATCCAACTTCAAATCATTTGAGTTCCTATATATATCATATTGTTCAGAAGACCTTTAACTGTTATGATCTTTTTGTCACAGAAACGCCCTTCCTGTGTACAAAACTTCACCTTCATTTTAAATGTACTGTAGAATGTAAAATATTATACCTATATAATGGCAGCCGAGAAGGGTCATAATGATTCGATTTTTATTGTGCAAGAACTTTGTCAGCAATATGTCAAATGTATTTTAACAAGAAAACAGCATTTATTTCTCATCTTTTGCCATCTAAAACCATTCCGAGATGTTTTGTACTCGCGTAAAATAGGGAATTAACTATTATCAACTTTATCGGCACGAAGTTCTACGGAGGCACTATTCTTAGTCTAATCATTCTATAATATAAGCTAGAAACTAGAGTCCTTGTTTCTTCGAAGAATAAAGATGGTTTTGCAATTGCTTATGAAAGCGGGGATTTTAATAATTATTTTAATAAGAAGATAGCATTGATGGGATTTACCCAGTTGTACGGGGTTCGCGTCTGTACGCTGACTAAAAATCCAATGTATTTAGAAAGTGGATAAGTATCATGTAGTTAAACCTTCTACTGAAATTATTAAAGCCAGAGGTTAACATGAGGCAATACCTTGCATAAGTATATGGATATAAACGCGTCATCGCCAACAGTTAGGCTTTTTTTTGCCTTGAAAATCTCATAATGGTGTATAGATAGTAATGGCCTCAGCAGCAATTGTAGTTTACCTAAGAAATATGTACTTTGCCAGCAATGCTACAAACCCTAATGCTTTTTTACATGAAGTAAATGGGTGGTCAGTTAGAGCTAAGCAGTTTGCCATTTCCCATTTATTTGGATCCTCGAGAATTGTCGTTTGAAAGACCCTAAACAAGTATTTCACCAGATTGCCTCACGTTATTTAGAAAATCTTTCTAAAAGTCGCACGGAAATCAAACTACAGAACTTGTAATCTTGAAAGAATTATATTTTAACACAGAAATCAATATGCCCTTGCGAAAACTATATTTTTTATTTGTACGAAAAGATTCCTTTACAGTAAAATTATACTTAATAAAAGTAAAATGTTCCAAACAAAATTTTTTGTCCATTTATAAATTTAGAAATAAAATAAATACTGTTAAACATTTTAGGAATTTTATTGGAAAGGTTATAATAATACAAACATACAGTGAATATATTTATGATTTTACATATGAAAGGTGCACAAAATCACTCCTCAATCGCCTGAATTGATTCAAAACATTAGATTTATACATTTATTATAGTATCTTACATTAACATTGATAAAAAATATTTTAAAAAATCAACCAATCAATAAGTGCCGCGGATGGAATTATTCCAAATCATTGAAGTGAGAGGACTTTAATTTCTTCAGACAACCATTCCCCCACATACAAGATATTATGTTTATTTATACAGAGAGCACGTTGCATGTGCATGTCTTGATACTGAATAAAGTAAAGAAGCTCTACGTTTTGATCATGTGAATTCTATTCTTCACCATGTCCGCTACAATGATGTTATTCTTGGAATCACAACAGATGCCGTATGGATCAAATTGTGGATCACTTTGTGTTCCTGTGTAACGAAATCTCAGAAAGCCTCCCGCATCCGTGACGACCACAACGTTCACATCAGAAACGCAGATGTCTTCATTTCCGTTTTCTGTTATATAGGTGGGGCATATGAAAAGGGGCCGATTTTTGTCGGTTTCCATTTCAAAGAGCTTAACTCCACCAAGAGATAACTTAAGTACTTTCCTAGTGAACGCTTATGCACCTGATGGTTCCAGAGACAAACCAAAATGGCCCCCGATTTGCACATCGCTGATCCATTTGGTGTGTATCCACCAGTTAGTTCATCTGGCAAAGGCCAAAATCTGTGGAATGTATTAGGATTATATGGTTCACCTGGCAAAGGATATCTGTCATAGTAACTGTTATCTTTTTCCATACGACATTCCATCAATGATCTCTCACATGTATTCCAAAAAATGAATATTTCACAAAACTCGTCATTTGTATAACACAAACAGGACCCATGAGTAGAGAGAAATAGAATGGAATCATCTTTTAATATGCAAGAAGGATCTGTGCCTTTTGTGTTTTCAACAGAAACAATTAGCCTTCCTTTATTTACATATTTCAGATCAGTTATATACTTCTGTCCATAATTAATTGTTTTTGCTATTTTCACTAGATTCACAACAGCAGAAAAAACCTGGGCTTGCATTATTCTTTTTACCTGTCATAAAACCAATTGCTGATAAAAATTGCTGATAAAAATAAAGCATTAATTGTAATATTTTTTTCAACAAATAAATAAACAAATCCGTATCGCCGAATATTAATATGCATAAATTTCATGTACTTCTAAATTATTACCTTCATGTTTTTTTTTTAAAATTCGTATCGCCGAATATTAATATGCATAAATTACATGTACTTCTAAATTATTAACTTCATGTTTTTTAAACACAAACAGGATCCATGTTAAGCTCTTCCGGAGATTGCAAAGTGATTCCAAGAACTCAGTGCGAAGTTTGACCTAGATTCCATCAGATGTAAAATTTTACGCTCTATTATTTCTGTGTATTTAACTTTGTTTTGTGACTTTTATAGTATATCTTTCGACTCCTGTTAGATAGTGAATTAGTGCGAAACATTTCCGGTGAATTTGAAATGATATTTAAATTGTACAATTACATAATTTACGGAGTTCATTTTTTTTCTTCTTTACACAAGTGAAGTCTACAGAATAGTCAGAAGAGCATCATGATTAAGGTTCATATAAAAGGCAATAAAATCTCGTACGCGAGGTGCACTTATTGAAAGGGCGGAATTAGGGAAGATGTAACAAAATTATTAATAATGATTAAAAAACCCTAGAATGCTGTAACCAGCCAAACCATAGCCCGCTGGATCAAAAAAGTGTTGACAGAAGTTAGCATTGATAAAAAAAAATAGTGTTTGAAGCATACACTCTACTGCAACTACTGACGCAAAATCTATGGGACCGTCGTCACCATGAATGCTGCAGGATAGTCTAATTCTGGAATATTTTACAAGTTTTATAACATAACTGTTAAGTGCGATAATTCTGGACTGTAAGTTTTATCACAATATTCCACAATCAGGGATAATAGAACTTATCATGTTTCCACAATTGATTGCAGTAATTGGTAATCTTCACAATTTGTCGACAGTTTTGCAATGTTAAGACATTTTGCTTAATTAATTTATTAATTAGTAAAGTGTTATGGTCACGCTTTAAATCTTCCACGTGATCTCGATACTGTCGTATGTTGATGGAGAATTTAAGAATTAAACGGTACTTACCAAGTAGACGTTTGATTGCAATTATCCGAAATATACGTCAATATAAGAGATCAGGTGCCACTGACCCCCACCCACACATTACAGTATAGAGAGTTTTGTTTTCTGGCTACAACACCCTTAAATGTTGAATTCTGTGAACAATTTTGCAATCTCACCTCCCCTATCTCATTCGGAGAATCACAATTAAATTTTTCTTGGCAAGTATCGTTTAAATTTTAAATTAAATATTATGTCACTAATATTATGTCAGGTGTCAGAAATAAAAGACTGTATTTTAAAACCAGATTAAACCAAACAAACGAGATAGATGTATTAAAATGTTAATAAGACAATGTTCAACACAACCTTACCTGCTAGGCTTTACTTTTTTTTCAGAAAACGACTTCCTTATTGAATCAAAATTCACTTTCGGTTTTAAGGTATAAATATCTTCCGTCAATCAAGGCGGTAGAGAAGGGTTATATATTGATCGTTTATGTATAAAGCCTTATTAGCAGTATTTCAGTTTTAAAAGGAAAACAAAATCCGTTTTCGTAATTTTTTTTGTAACTCAGGGAAACATTACACCTCATAATGCAATATTTACATTCAGTGTTATTTTCCTTATGAAATCCATTAGAAATCCACGACATTCAAATTTCTGTATTTACATTTGCTAAGGTCTTTCCTTATATGACAATATAAATTAAATTGACGTTCAATTTTCAATGACATGCAGTTTGGCAAACCGCACGAGACTATTAGAAAGTCTTGACTGTGACGTCATATGACGCCGTAGTTACGTTATGTTGCATTTCTATAACAATGTCTAAATAGCGCCTATTTTTTCTTGTAACAAGAATAAAAAAAATATAAATATAAGAAATAAAATATCATTTTTTAGAGTTTCATTGGGATGTGACATGAAATCAGTATTATTTCTTAAATAACACACGCGAAACCTTGTCACTGCGCGCTAGAATACGCAATCGGAACTACATGCATTTTATATACTCTAGGATAACCAAATTGTAAAATGTTTTATTTCAATAGACTCTATTCACGCACGCGCTAAAGTTCTTAGCGATAACGAGGCTGACCTGACAAAAAGCACATGTGCGAGCAGACGCTGAAAATGGACGGCCATGCGAAAACAGGCTCCGCGGCTTATTGTTGTGTGCCGCTTTGTAATGAAGACAGTCGTCGGGGTACAGCAACGTCCTTCCACTCTTTTCCAAAGGATCCATCTGTACGGAAAGAGTGGATTATTAAAATACGGCGAGACGAAGGCCCCGACTTCCATGTAAGTTTTTCACGTGCCCAACACAAAGTTTATCGATTTTGTGGATATAAAAAAATCCCTCACTGAAACATCTTTAAAAAGTTACAGATTTTTAATTTTGATTATATTTTCCTTTAATTTCATTGAGTTTTGACATACAGGACCCTTTTAATTAATCACAGTGAGGCGATAGATTCCACATCAGCCTCACCAGTGTTGTTTACGTCCATCATGTTAAAGGTGCGAGCGAGGTTTCTTATCATCTCGCACTTCATTACATCTCTACACACTTTTAAGTTAGATGATTGCATTTCGATATAACAACTTTTAATAAATTTCCCAGTCATATAATACGTTTTTTTGGATGATAAATATCTATATAAACGTGAAAATCCAAGCCTAATTCCAACCAACACGCAGCTTAATTAGTTCCCAACAGAAAAAACAACTCTCTTCATAACATCTGCAGCCTGTATAGTATTAAATCATATACACTATATCATGATACATGTTCAATATTTAATTGAATTGAGCAGGCCTATAATTTATAGGTCATATGGGCATCAACAAAACAAAATAAAATGCCAGCCATAAAATATTCTGACAATACCCTAGTGAGAATTTACACGCAACACTTGTAATCAGGATGTCCAGTTCCTTTCTGTTTAACATACTTGTCATAAAATTTTGTCTAAGAAAAATTCTTTTGTTTACAATATCCTGATTTATTTTATGCACCAACTTGAAATTTTTTTTTCTCCAGCAACCCCTTGCATAGCCCCTTCACAATAAGTGTGGTACTACTCTTTTGCAGGGCAAAATGCTATATTTTGGTTAAATTCGATGTAAAAGTAATTATCTATCAGTATAAACAAAAATGCCATCAAATATTACACATAAATTTGCTCTGCAAAAGTGTAGAACCACAATAATGGTGAAGGGGCCAATATTGGCCTAATAAAGCCAAGGTAAGCAGTTAAAACCTTGTGTATCCGTTAATTAATTAATTCCTTCCTAACATTATATAGATGTTTTTAAAAGAAGCATAATAAATAGTGTACATACTTTTTAATACATGTATAACTTTTAAATTGTAACTGAAACAATAAGAATCCCAATTAGATGTTCTACAACTTGATTGATATTTTTCAGATATCAAAGTCCACATTTGTGTGTTCAAAGCATTTTAAGGAAGATGATATTGTAAAAACATTGACAGGTACAAGGCAACAAGCAGCTTCAAAGTTTGAGTTCTTTTGCTGTTACTTTATTAAATTGTTGAATTTTAATTTATATTAATATCAACTTAAAAGTTTAAATAATGCACTTTAGTTATCATTGATCATTTAGATTTATAATAAATTTATATCAATAAAATTAATATTCAATTCTAAATATATATAAACTTTCTGAAAAATCAAGGTGACATAATTTCTATTTAAAGTTCAAAAATAAAGTTGTAATTTGGAGTCAAGTACAACAAACAAATAATATTTTAAATTGGAAATAGATAATTAAATATTTTATAATGGTTAATAAACATGTCTACACACTTTGTAGGACTAAGAAAATTGAAGAAAGGCACAGTACCAAGTATGTTTCCATGGACTAAGAGTGCACCAAGCCGTAAACCACCCAAGAAGAGGGAAGGACCTCCTCAGTAAGAGTTTATAAGTCATGATACAATTTGCAGTATTAATTTTGCTTCTGATAAACAAGGAATGCTGCATTTGTATTATTTAAGCACTGAGTTGTAAATTTTGATGTTCATCATGTCACAGCATGGACAGCTGTGCTCACAAACTGAGTTACATGCATAAGCACTTACGTATCATGTGTTTGTACAGCTGGTCATGTTACGGGATGATGAACATGAAAATGGACAGTTCGGTACTTATATTACCATTTAAATAATAAATACAGCTTGAATAATGCACACCATACCTGTGCAAGGCCATAGTAAATAAAAAAAACTAGATTCTCATCCTCATCTCAAATTAAAAAAAATCTGTTTTCTTAGTCTTAATTCAGATCAGGATCGGTAATCAACCAGTATTCAACTTTCGTCCTCTATCCCCCATATGTCAGTGTGATTTTCACGGCTGTTAAGATCATTAAACAGGATCATCAGTAGTTGTGAAAGATTCCTGATGTGAGATGATGTGTAGTAAGAGATAAACATATTTAAATTGATCTCTATAACTATGTATGACTTTTAGATGTATAACAAAGATACATATCTGACAATGGATATAACACTTAAATCTGCACCATTTGATAAGGTTAAAAAATTTCTGTATAATAGAAGAAACGAAAATTTTGTTTTAATGAAATCCACCACCTGCCTCAATTTAAAAAAAAAAAAATTGGATGAGAATCAAGTTTTTTTATTTATTAAATCCTTATTACAGGTTATTGGCTGATTATTGTGCCATTGTAATGGCTCAACTGAGCAGACGGAAAACTCAAGTGAGATTTTCTGATCAAATTCACTTTCGATCGCTTAAAACAATTGTGTGTGTAAAAAAAAATAAAGGTATTGAACTCTTACACTGAGTACCCTATTTTGCTAATAAAATATTTTTTATTCAAATGCTCTAAAATTCTACTTTCTATTCAAATCTATTCATAGATAAACATTCTTCATTTCTACCAAAGCTCACTCCGAAATTCCATATACCATATTTTTTGAGATATTCTGAAATCAATTTCAAAAATGACCTACTTTCTTTTACTCAACATTAGCTTGGGCCCCTGGTCATTCACATGTAAACAGATGATGTTTAAAGTGCAGCGAAGAGTTGCAAAGTATTTGCAAAATTTTTCAACAATTCAAAGTTGATTTCTTACTCCAGATTGTAAGGTTAAGTCAGTAGAATTTACATTTATTATCTTTTTTTTATCTCTCTTTTTTAATATTATCTATAGATGGATAGTGGATAGTGTGAAAGGGGTGAGTGTGTTTGTGTGTAAGGCATAAATACGCTGTAATTCCTTTCACGAAAAATTAATTTGAAGACATTTGCATCAACAACTGCACCGCCATGTTGATTAAGAATGTAAGTGAAGCCATGGTAGAACAAATATTTTCTGGAATGCATTGTATACCTTTCAATTTTCAAAACATTTAGACAGCTAAAATGTAGTTTGTGACTTAGTAATATCATATGATCATATTAGAGAAAACCTCGAATATCTCAAGAAGTATAAGGAATTTCGGGATGAACTTTGGTAGTAATGAAGATTGTTTATATTTGAATTGATATGGATAGAAAGTAAAATTGTAAAGCATTTGATTTAAAAGAATTTTTTTGGCGAAAAGAAGGTACCCTACGAAAAGAGTTTCATACCTTTATTTTTTTTTTTCAACACCTTATTTTTTTTTCTAACGATCTAAAGGCCTGTGATCAAATTTGTCTATTATCTGTCATTGGTGTTTGTTGTCATTACAAATAATATTCACATTTTCTTTCATTGAGCTAGTTTCAACCAAACTTGGGACATGCATGTACAATCCTTGGGTGAGGGAAAACCAAGTTTCTTACCTCCAAGGGGAGATAATTAAGAAAATAGTCAATGAAAATTGTGGGATCCTTTAAAAATCTTCTCAAAAAACAGGAGCCACAAAAAAATGAAGCTTGTGTGAAACCGTATTGATATAAAGTACTATAGATTCAAGCTTTACTTAATGGGAATGCATAGAAAAAAATAAAATCAGTAAATTTAAAGATATATATAAAATTTACATTTATAAACATGTATTTTGCATGTAAAATATATGGAAATTTAAGGCATTTAAAACACCATAACAGGGACATTTGATTTGTTTGCACACACTGTTGCAATTACGAGACTATATCTCTTTCAAAAAATAATGATTCATTGCTTTAACATATCATCTCATATGTTAGTTCAAATCATCCCAAAGGATAATATGGTCGAAGTCTTGGAGTAAAATAAGTAAATTGTTTTATTTAGACACTTTTTCTCCAGATAAATCTATATTGGTACCAATGGATTATGGTATTATCTGGATGTGTAAATGTTAGTGAAAAGTATGTCATGAAAATTATTTCTACATGCAATATTGTGTCTGACCGCAAACTTTTGCTTTTATCATTTTTGTATGTAGTGAAGCTTGCATGCAACCACTGACTTGTAAAAAGTATTGCATTTTGTGATCAAATGAATCATAAAAGTTTAGGAATGTGCAAGATTTTTAAGTCCCAATAACATATAGCTGAGTTTTCAAAATTCTACTGTATCAAAACAAAACATTGCCATGTATAATATTTTACATGTATTATGATACATATTGATCTTTTCAGAGAAGAAACGTCAATTATTAAGAAGCAGAAAACATCATCCTCAATCTCGTTAGACACAGACCAACATTCATCATCAACTGCAACATGTGCCATTGATACTTCAACAGATATGCCATCTGAAGAGCATGACTATTGTCGCCAAGCACCATCTCTTGAAGAAGATCTTGAGGTAATACACAGATCATGTAGTTCCTTTGATCTTGGGGGCATGTTGACTTTAGCTCACACCTGAGCTGAAAACTCAAGTGAGCTTTTCTGATCACCCGTTGTCCATCGTCCTTCTGTCCGTCTGTTAACTTTTCACATTTTCAACTTCTTTTCAAGAACCACAGGGCCAATTTTAACAAAACTTGGTACAAAGCATCCTTGGGCAAAGGAAAATTAAATTTTTAGGTCACCTGAGTAAACTCAGGTGACCTATTGCTATCCGTTTTCGTCCGTCATCGTGAGTCGTGCGTTAACATTTGAACATTTTCAGCTTCTTCTCTGCAACCACTGAACCAATTTCAACCAAATTTGGCACAAAGCATCTATGGGTAAAGGGGAACAAAAATTGTGAATTTCATGATCCCTGCCCCCCTGGGGCCTGAGGGGTGGGGCCAAAACCACTAAAATTAATGCATACTTTAAAAATCTTTTTCTTTACTCCTGGACATCAAGCAGTCAAACTGTTTGCATGATTGTAATAAGCAATGAGTCCTCTACCAAAATTGTGAAATTCATGGCCCTGGGGTCAGGGGTTCTAGTGCTAGGGCGGGGCTAAAAAATTAGGTAGTGAAAATGCAGTATTTCTTTGAAAATCTTCTTCTCTGCTCCTGGGTATTAAATAAACCAACTAAATACATATTTATGATAAGCAAGAGTGCCTCTATCAAAATTGTTAATTTTATGGCCCCAGGGTCAAGGGTTCTGGTGTTAGGGCGGGGCTATATAGATTATATAGTAAAAATGCATTATTTCTTTGAAAATCTTCTTCTCTGCTCCTGGGTATTAAATAAACTAACTAAGTACATAGTTCTGAAGAGCAGGAATGCCTCTTCCAAAATTGTATATTTTATAGTCCCAGGGTCAGGGGTTCTGGTGTCAGGGCGGGGCTCTATTGATTATATAATGAAAATACATTAAGTCTTTGAAAATTTTCTTCTCTGCTCCAGGGTATTAAGCAGATGAACTACCTATATAGTTATGATGGACAAGGGCCCTAATCTTCCAGCAGAATTGTGAATTTCAAGGCCCCAGGGTCAGGGGTACCATAGAAGAAGGGGGACTTTACTTATATACTGAAAATGAATGAATGGTTTGAAATCTGCTCCTTGGTATTAATCAAATATCAAGGCCTAAGGGTCAGGGGTTCATGTGTGGTAGGGGCACTACTGATTATTGCTGAATATTACTGATTAGTTGAAATGCATTTTTTGCTCCCCTACCCTGGGTATGGGCATTAAGTAAACAAACTAAGCAACTGCTAAATGTATTGTTATGATGATCAATGGTGCCTCTTTCAAAATTGTGAATGCCATAGCATCTGGCTTAAAACATGAATCAAATTCAATCACTGGAAAGTTGTTGCATAATGCTCAGGTGACCTATAAGGCCCATGGGCCTCTTGTTAATTTGAAGGGCCAAATCTCCTTCTGAGGGGAGATAATCATGAAAAGAAAAAAATAGGGTGGGTCATTTATAAATCTTCCCAATAACCATTGGGCCAGAAAAGCTGAAACTGATGTGGAAGCATCCTGGGTTTGTGTAGATTCTAAATTAATCAAATCATGACACCCCCCCCCCCCCAGGGTAGGGTGTGGCCACAATAGGGGATCCTAGTTTTACATTGAAATATGAAGGGAAAAAAATTTTAAAAATCTTCTCAAGAACCATTAGGTCAGAAAAGCTAAAACTTATATGTGGAAGCATCAAGCTGGAGCAGTGTAGATTCTAAACTAACCCCCGGGGATAGGATGGGGCAATAATAGGGTATCCAAGTTTTTGCAATAGACGGTACAAGGGTACAAGGGGGAAATCTGTCAAAGAACAGAATGGAGCAAATTACTCAGGTGATCCATGGGCCTCTTGTTTATGAAAACCACAATGGAAATCTTATCAGTTAACATTGTTTAAAAGTAAACCACCTGTAAAGATTTTTTAGCAGCATCTATTCCATCAAAGAAACATCCAATGATGTGCATTCAATAATATAATTAATGTTTCATCATGTAAATAATACTGTATACAGTTGCTCATACAAATTTAAATAAAAGAAGAAAATGTCTCTGTGATATTGTGGTAATGTTGACATTAATTTGGAATAGATAAACCATGTGCATATATCACTGTGTAATACATGTACTATATTGCAGGCCATGAAGATACACATTTCTAAACTAGAAGAAAGGGTACAGCACCTTGAGAAGAAAGTAGAGAAGTTCGGAATTGAAAGATTTTCCAAAGATCCAAATTTGATAAATTTTTACACTGGTTTTTCTACTTATGATATTTTTTGTGCTGTATATAATGTTGTTGAGCCAACAGCCTCAAATATGATCAGGTGGTCACAAGTTCAGAGAAATAAGAACATTGTTTGTAATCCTTTTAGAGAAGAATCTTTGTCAATTGTAGATCAATTTTTTATGTTTTTATGTAGAATTAGACAAGGTTTTTTTGAAGAAGATTTAGCACAACGTTTTTGTGTGTCTCAAAGCACTGTTAGTCGTATTATTATTACTTGGAGTAATTACTTGTATTGTATTTTGGGATGTTTACCCATATGGCCAGATTTAGATATTGTTAAACAGAATATGCCAGATTGTTTTAAGACTACTTTTCCTAATACACGAGTTATTTTGGATTGTACAGAAATACGTGTGCAGACTCCAAGTGCCAAAGTACTTAACTCTCAGTCATATTCAAATTACAAGTCTCATACTACCTTTAAAGGCTTGATTGGTATAACCCCTCATGGTGCTGTATGTTTTGTTAGCAGATTATTTACTGGCAATATTTCTGATAAAGATGTAACACAAAGAAGTGGAATACTTGATCTATTAGAACAAGGTGATGATGTGATGGTCGACAAAGGTTTTTTAATCCAAGATTTACTTGACAGTGTTGGTGCACACTTGATTATTCCTCCTTTTTTAGGAAATAAAGTTAAATTTAGTAAGGATGACGTTACTAAAACTCAGCAAATAGCAAGACTAAGAATTCATGTAGAAAGAGCTATCAGAAGGTGTAAAGAGTACCATATTTTTGATAATGTTCTGCCATTGTCTGTTGCTGGGACTGTAAACCAGATTTGGTCTGTGTGTTGTTTATTGACAAATTTTAAAGAAAAGTTATTTTGACAGTTATATTTTCAATTGTTTGATACAGTTTATGTGTGTGGCATGTAAATGAACATCATCTGCATATTTGATATACCAGACATGTACAAGTGAGAAGGTACACATACCTGTATATATTCAAAACAGAAATATGGCTTTTTGTGCACAACACTTTTTTCCTTTGCATGCTTTGGGAAATTGATTTTTTTTTTGTAAATTTTCATTGATATGTTTTCAAGTGATATTAATCTTTTTGGAAAAAAATTAATACAGTGAGATTTTATCAAGGTTTGGGTAACTTTGAAATCTAATACAGATATTTTAAAATTTGATTTAAGTACAAGAATTTTTAAATTATACTGTATATGCAATGCTATCATAATTACATTTGGTAATCAACGCAATTTCAATTTTATTAAGATTTACGTTGCATTTATTTTTTTTTTTTGTATGTAACATAAAGGACAACTTTTTTGAAAAGGACAAGGCTTTGAACAAATTTGGATTTGAACAAACTTGAATCTACACTATATAAGGAAGCTTTTGCTTCTTATGGCTATTAAAGTGGGGTTTTGTTTTTAGTAGAAAAAAATAATGATGCCAAATTTTCATTCTTTCCCAATCATCTCCCCATTACATACATGTATAGAGAGAATGGGGTACTTCATTTAAAATAAACAGATGACAGACTCTCTTTAATCAGAAAAAAGCTTATTTGAACTTTTGGATTAACAAAACAAAGAAACCAACCAAACAAAAATAACAGCATGCATGTACTCACATGTACATTTTTTTTCTTTTTATGATCCATCATAGATGTTATTTTCAGTATCGAACACATTTTGGTAAAAAGCAATTGAAGTAAAATATGTCAAGTTTTTGTTTTATTTCCTGCCACTTTCCTGGTACAAAGTTAATTCTTTCCAGATGGTAGTCATCTTTACACCAAATGAACAAATCGCACCACAAAGCACCGGTCAGACCCATTTGACCCATTATCTGATAATAATATTCATGGGAGGATTTTAGTTTGTAGCTGTTATTCACAAGAGTTAGATATTTTAAATTTGTGATGGAATCTGCATTTGGACATTTAATTTCCAAGAGTCCATACATAGGAACAGAGTTGGGGTCTATGACTTTCCTGTCAGGAGAAGTTCCCAAATAAAAACATGAGGGATTGATGACTAAGCCTGCTTTAAACACATTATTTCCTGTTATAGTGGCGTATGCTTCTGCTGCCTCTTGTTCGTGTTCAAGTCCAAATTTCATTGCTGCTGTTTGAATTTTGTTACTTTTTAATAATGCGTCAGCCAAAGTTTCAAAATCTTTTTTCCGTGAACAAACTCTTTTAAATTTAGATGAAGTAATTCTGTGTTTTCTTGCTGAATTCCAGTAGGGATTTTTAGACTGTTCAATTGTATTTTGTTCAATGTCGTCAGAATCAGTTTTTGACACGGCAAGTCCATCATAAAAATTTTGTTCCCCCAGATTTAGAGCTGTATTAAAAGTTTGATCAAGAATAGGTAAATTATATCCAGGAAAAGTAGGAAACGCAGGATTGTTTATAATTGTATCGTTACTTTCGTCAATTTTCTTTTGCTGGTAAGAAAGAAGGGAACCTTTAGGCACTGGTCCAACTTTTGATTCAATGGTCTCAATGGAATTAATTTTGGAGGAAGGTGGCAGTATGGTTTTAAATTGAGCATTTGTTGCCATTATATTTTGATTCAATGATTCCAAAATGTTCTGATAAGGTATAGGTTGCTGTATTGGACAATAAAATTTTGATTTCACACCATCTGTTCTTTTTATTTTTTTACAGGTTGTCTTCTGAATATGTACATCCTCAACTGCTTCAGGATGGATACCCTCTAACCGTTGGGGTATATGCCATGTTTGAGGCATTGATGTCTTAGATTTGACACATGGCACTGTCTTTAAATCAAGCTTTTGATAGTGGGCTAATGTGTACATAAGGCCTAAAATATGGCTGCAATGTCCAGAGCCTGCTTTACATGTGCAGTTAGAACTTTCAACAACAGTACAAGCTGCAGCTTTTAGGGCAATTTGTAAATTATGTGGGGGATCATTTTTCCTCATAGAAGGAAAGCACTTGGCTCTAATACAAGCACCAGTGCCCCCTGATGTACATGGTCTCACTGAAACAATAGAAGAAGCTTACTTAGCTTCCTTGTAAATGAAAATTGATAAGGAAACAGAAATAAAAACAACCAAGGACAAAATGAAACTGTTTTAAAGAAATGAAAAGAAATTTGGACAAATGATATGAAATAAAAATGAATAAAAGAGATTGAAAACCAGGTTGGGATTTATTTGCTACATAAGTAGGAAAGCAAAAGATTCAGATGATTTTTTTTTAAATTTGGACATGTATTGAATGTAAATTTAAGCTATATAAAGACTTGAAATTGAAATTGCCAGATTTCTTGGTATATAATGTTACACCTCTACAGGACTTTAACATTATTTTGTGAATATGGTAGTGTGGAACATGTTACATGTACATATTGACTAGGTTTTTAAAGGGGAAAAAATAACCCTGATGCAGTGCATAAATTCTAAATTAATTGTTGTCTCTGGCCTCTTCAACATACATTTTCCAAAGGATTATTTCTTTAAATCTGCATGTATATTCACTTTATATCCTAGTATGCACAATGAAAATATTGAAATCTATTGATCTAAATCATAATCAAAGCTTGTCTTTCATTCTTTGAAAGTATGTAGCACATGTATATACATGTGTGCATTATTCAATCTGATTGATAGTACACCTGTACATGTGCAGGCATTGAAAATGCAATTGCAACTACATGTATATAATTTATACACAATAATATTTATTACATGTAATTTAAATGAAGCATTCCAACCAATACTAAAACCAAGACATCACGTACCTCGCAACAAGATTGATAAATAAAAGGTTAAGAATCCTAAAATTTGAAATGTGTTTGTATATATGTGTACATGTATTTGAATTTAGTTTATAGTACCCCCCCGGTAAGCATTTACATGTAGTAACCATCAAATTAAAGTGCTGTATTAGTATATATGCGTACCAAATGTTAAAACAGTGCTTTGTTTACATTTAAAATTCCATGTTCTATTAATGAAATACCTTGCAATTTTCAAAAGGAAAAAATCTATCAAAATACAGGAATATCAAGACATATAAATAATAATTAAAAACCAAAAAAAAAAAAAAGGAAGAAAGAAAAGAAAACAAAGACATATATCAAATGAAAATAGTTTAAATTTATTTATTTACAAAATGAAAAAGTAATGTGTTTATAAATGACACAAGGTAAATAATATCACAGCATCGATAACGTCTACGTTAAATGGACTTCATTCTTTGATAACTATATATATAAGCCACGCCCACTTTAGTGTACGTACATTTCACATAACGTGGACATAAATTTCTTAATTTATATTATTTCTTTCTTTAAAAATGATAACTAAATGTATGTATTCTCTACTTGTGGTGAATATTTATTGTCTTCCATTCAATGAATTTCAGTAATAATGACAGATATCAACGTAAAGGATTCTATGCATGCTGTCCGATGGTCCATCGTAAAATTGTAAACAAACCTTCAATATCATGAACATATCCTTCAGCAAAATTGCTGTATCCTCTTTTGAGAGATTTATTCGGGATTTTTGACGTGGTAGACCATGCCGATATTACATCGTCGGTTATCCTTGGTACGCTTGCGAGAGAGCGCGTCCAAGCTGGATGACCTTCGCCGCACTTCGCCATTTTCTCGTAGTGAAGGACGCTAGTTTGTCAGGTCAGCCTCGGTTTCGTATTTTAATGGCGGACGCATGAATAGAGTCTATTCAATGAAAAACTATAAACCTGAACAATAAACGTATATTAAATTAATGTAATGTGCATTTAATTATTTTGTCACTTTTTTTCTCACAATGTTTGTTTGCGTAATTAAACTTTGCAACGTCATTTAACGTCAATTGACGTCACAATCAGCTCTTACATCTATTAACCAAGGCAGTTTTGAAAAGTAATAAATCCACATTTAAGATTAACGAAATAAGCAATTATTAAGAAGGGAAATAAGAGAATGTAAATATGAGCATTGAATTCATATTATGTCCTTAGTACGAAGAAGGTTTTAGGAGAAAATTGTTTTGTCAGTTAATATCAATACCAAAAAAAAAATTAATATGGTTAAATGCTGTAAAATCACATATTTTCAAGGGGTGAAATTTTCGTGGTTTTAGGAAAATACATTGGTTCATTGTGATTTGATTTCGTGTTTGAAGAACTATTCAATAGTAATATACGGGGAAAATTCAGGGTTCTCCATTGGCCGTTTAACGTGGCGGCCTCGCCACAGTTGAATTCCTTTGCGCCACAGTTAAAAAGTTAGTGTCATAGTACCGCCACAGTTAAAATATCAACGCCACAGTAAGATCGCTATTGACACTACATGTACCATAAATATATAATTATACTTTTTTGAAAAATCAAAACAAATCTCTAAACCTTAATACAATGTACCGTTTTCAGTTTCTAATGCTAAGCTGTTAATCTACTCTAATTAGGGCGCATTGCTTTGCTTGCACAATCAATTATCTTCTAGATTGTCACACTTCACGATAATTACAAAGGACATTTTAAATATCTATTAGTTCATGATTAAATAGTTCTACATTTTACTATGTCTCTAACATTACACTTGCACTGCGAGTAAAAACATCGCACATGTATTTGTCTTAAGTGATCCACCAGTATTTCCTCTGTCAATCTTTATTAACACTGTATACGTATATTTACCGTTTGAAAACAATTTTTTTAAAATAAGAATTCAATGCTTCATACCTGTTATTACTTATACCTTCTTTCATATTCTATAAGCAAATATCTATTTATTTAGTTCTTTTGTGTGTTTGGGAAAAAAAGGGTCTTTTTAATACTACATGTATATTTTCACAAACAGTTGTGGAAATAATCAAATTTTTGTTATACAGCATGTTAAATCCATATAGTTTTTAAATCATTATCCTTACATTCATCAAAGACATTTTGCCAATTAATCAATGCCTATTTGTATTTGAATATTTATTCATAAGAGCCGTATGTTTTTAAATTTAAATTTCGGGTTTCCCTCGCCAATTGGTCACGAAATGACCGCGAATGTTCTTGCGCCACAGTTAAATTTGAAATGATGGAGAACCCTGAAAATTGCGTTCCTTGGTGGATGTAATTCAAGGGTCTCTTCATACCTTGAAAACCATGAAAATTACCCACCCCCTCCACGAAATAAATGACTTAACAGTAGTTCATCAATTGCATTTAA